GGCTTTAGTTGAGGCTGAAGAATCCAGCACTTCTCTTTGGCATGTCCATTCCGTTTGCAATGATCACACCATGGAGCTTTCCCGCGGTTGGCGTTGAAGTTCCCACGGTTGGCGTATGCAAGCTCTACTTTGAGTTGCCCGAGACAAGCTCTCCTTTGCTACCTTACAACCCGAGAGATCCTTGCTCCTTTTGGATTTGAGTACACACTTCTTCAAGGTTTTGGAGCTTGTCAGCACGGAGGAGATGCTTGATGAGGTCGTTGTACGCCGGTACTCTAGGTGAAGAGTAGACCAAAGACCTTGTCTTGCTCACGCCTCTCGTTGATGACCGCCGGATCAAGAGTGTTGGGTCTCAACATCTCAAGCTCGGCCCAAAGAGACCGAAACTTCCCAAAGTGTTGAGTGAACTCCATGTCTCCTTGGGTCAGCTCGTTGATGGCTTTCTTGATCTCAAAAACACGGCTTAGGTTGGATTGGTTTCCAAAGACATTTTGCAAAGTTTCCCAAAGATCCTTGGGAGTCTCACAATAGGAGTATCCTTCAAGGATTGATGCTTCAAGGGAGTTTTGGAGAACGGATAAGACCATTTGGTCTTCTTGGAACCACTTGTCTTCATCAACAAGGGCGATCTCCAAGCCATCTTCGTTCGTGGTTGTTTCTCTTGGCGCTTCACTCTTGATGATGTGAGGCCAGAATCCACGACCGCACAAGATGGTCTTCATGGTTCTTGCCCAAAGCAAGTAGTTTCCTCCTTTGAGGGTGACTGGAGCACGAATCTTGGTGTTCTCCATGGTGAGAAGAATCGAAAAGAGAATGAAGATTGGAGAAGAAGAAGATTTGTAAGAAGAATCGAGTATGTGGAGCTTTATGGCTCTGATACCATGTAAGAATGTGGAGATTAGGTTGCGAGAATGGGACTTAGAATAAACGGAAATGGAGATTTGAGAGATTAGAGAGAAAGAGATTTGATGATGAGAAAGAGAGAGATTATCTCTTCTTACTTAATTTGGCAATGTACAAGGTTTCTCTTTTAAAGAGATTTACAAAAGGAATATCCTTTAAGGATATGCTACTTTACATAAAGCAAAAACAAAAGCAGCAGCCCACGTGGAGAGAGGAGCGTCCTCTCCTTGGTTTGAACACGCAACGGCTCCAAGGGGAAGGATTCGGATGCTTCTAGAAGACTCTTGTCTTCTTCCTCTTTCCAATGTGTAACGGTCATGTGATAAGGTTCTGGGAGCTTCTAGAAGAGCCTTGGAGAGGATCCAAGGCTAAATGGCCGAGAGAAAAAGTCGTGGGCCGAGACAAAACTTCAATGGTACGGACGGACCAAAAGTTGGCCGTACGGGCGAGAGTCTTCAATCGGTTGTGCAACCGATCAGCATAACCGATCGATAGTGAAACGAGGCTTCGATTGGTTGTGCAACCGATTGTCACAACCGAGCGGCAAATCCTTAGCTGACACGATCGGTTATGCAACCGATCGTAGTAACCGATTGGAAGACTTTTCTTCCTTTTCTTCACTTCATTCAATACAACCCGGATCCTGGTTGCTAAAGTAGAGTAGATGCAAAACAAAAAAAACTCATAGGGACTTCGTCCACCCTTACAAAACTTGGGGAAGCCATAATAAGCTTGTGTAGGCTTCTTGGAGTCCAATATGACAAGATTGGTGTGTATGACTGAGTATGAGAAAGAGAAATGC